CAATAAGAGGGAGTAGGACAGCTAGGGAAAAGGGAAAAAAATGGCGGACAGCGTGGTTTGGCGACCCCCGTGAAATGGTCGTTCGACCCCAAATGGGGTCCCGACCCACAGGTTGAGAACCACTGCTTTAACTGTTGTGGGCCTCTTGGAAGATAGTGTGGAACTTCCAACGAGATAGATCTATACAACTCAACCCCTGAGTTTTCAAGCAAAAACTAGAGTGAGACATTCTTGATCCTTTTCCTATTGATCTTCCATGGTCTTCAGCTGTGATATAGATAGTTGATCTTGAGAGTTCACCAGGAGGGAAGCAAGAGTTCCCAGTTCTTGGTTTGGGAAATGGTGTGTTTGTGAGTGAAGTCTTGGTTCCATTATCCTTTGAAGATTTGTTTATATTGGTATGTTGCCATGAGATAGTGCATCTGCTTGTCCTGGCTACCTAATCACAACCACTTAATAAAACTACATTTGTATGGAACGCTTATCACGAGGAATAAATACAAAGACAGACAGAGTGAAGTTGGGTGAGTGGCTGGGTGGATGCACTTCCTTCCCATAAACTGTGGGGAAAGTTTGTATAAATATAAATAGATGAAAATGACATGTAAATGTATACATGCCCAATTCACGAGAACTTCACAACTGCATGGACTTGTAGAGACCCCCAGTGGACATTTAGTGAAAGGAAGAGGACTTTTGTGGTAGGTTTCCCCTTCTTTTTAGAGAACAATACTTTTTTTCCCTTTAACCCTCCCCACTGAATTTCTGTTGTCCCATTGGCTTCATTTGGTCTTCTTCATAACCTCAATATTCTCTTAGGCAAACTCAAATAGTGTCTAATTAATTAATGTTGGGAATTTCTTAAAGGGTAATCCCAATTTTTTTTTACCTCAGATATGTCTCAAAAGGAGTCACAGTCAGCGAGACAGGTGATCATCTAAATTTATCAGATAAATAAATAATGTTCTCCAGGATAATCTATCCCTAACTTGTTCCTTCAGGTCTTCCAACTATCAATCTACCCCCTTGCTAATGGAAAAAGAGAAGAAGAGGACAACCAATAGCAAGGGGGTGGATTTACAGTTGGAAGACCGGAAGGAACAAGTTGGGGATAGATTCTCCTGGAGAACATTATTTATTTCTTTGATAAATTTAGATGACCACCTTTCTCACTGAATGTGACTCTGGATGGTGTACAACCAATAGTTAAAGCAATGTGTTCACTAATAGCATCAACTGAATGAGACATAAGCGATCAATCAATCAATCAATCAATATAAAGATCCAGTTCTCGTGGAAGGAAAAAGAAGAAGATGGCCAGCAGGAAGGTACTGTAGATGGACTTAGTGGTGATGGGGCCACCATTAGAAGACTTGAAGGACCAGATTAGGAAGAAGATCACAGAGAAGATCTATGTGGTTGCTAAGAATCAGCATCAACTTGATAATGAATTGATTTTGTAACTATTCAGTGCATCTTAAGAGATAATACTGCCTAGTTAAGCTACTTTGAAAATGAGAGGTTTTAAAAAAAAACCTATAACAGTGGTTCTCAACCTGTGGGTCGGGACCCCATTTGGGGTCGAACGACCATTTCACGGGGGTCGCCAAACAACGCAGTGCGCCATTTTTTCCCCCTTTTCCTTAGCTGTGCTACTCCCTTTTATTCTATTGGCTTTTGAAAGCCAATAGAATAGACTCTCTTGAATAGAGTCTAATTCTATTGGCTTTCAAAAGCCAATAGGAATTGTCCAGGCTGTCTCTTTCCCGCCAAAAGTCCCATTTTGCAAACGGTGCTGCACCAGTTGAGTAGTCCTCGACTTACAACCGGTTGAGTAGTCCTCGACTTACGACCGGTTGGGGGTCACAGCATTAAAAAGGTTGAGAACCACTGCCCTATAATATATAGGCAACACAAAGATAAGTTGATCTCACCTTCCTTCTAACTAGGCCATACTGTGCTCTGTTGGTAGCATTGCCATTGAATCCCACTAACACAATGGGATCCTTATATGTCTCCTCCAAAGGAACTCCGATTAAATTCAGAAGGTTTTATTCTAGATTGCCTGAGATTGCAATTTCTCAGTGCAAATCCTTGGTGACTTTAATGCAAGGATTGAAAATAATTTAAATACAGCAGTAAGAAGACAAAAATTTGTCAGAAGTAAATTTAAGGAGAAGGAACTTTACTAAAATTCTTTGAGCAAAGACGGCCTAATAAGGACAAAAAATCTAAATGCCACGATACTAAAAGCAGGGCAAAGGAAGGACAAGTCCTCCGACTGAAATAAGTAATTTTAGTTACATTTTGGGTTGAAACATCTATATAATGTCTATTTTATTCATGGAATGCTCTTAAAAGCAGTAAACAAATGATATGTTATTGGCTCATTCCCACAAACTCTTAATAATCATTTTGGGTGCTTTTTCCATGGTATGTATTTGGAATGAGGGATGGGTTAAGGGTTGACAGATGTCAAGGCCTGAACAAATTCAGGAAGACTTTCCCAAACTCGATGAAGATTTATGTGACCTGGGGAGAAACAAGAGTAAGCATGGCAGATAAATTAAGCCAAAGAGATTAGAAAGGATCAGTGATTTATGAAACATGATTCAGTATTCAACAGATTGGAGACAAGAAATATGAAAACTTCTTGGCTCAGAAATTTCCCAAAGAAGAAGATGAGGCTCTTAAAGGGTAGCTTAACCTGTGATTTCTATATATTTTTCCACACATTTTTATATCAAGGACTAGATTTGCAGAATACAGAATAACAGAATTGGAAAGGACTTGGAGGTCTTCTAGTCCAGCCCTCTTTTGAGCAGGAGACTTTATACCATCCCAGACAAATGATTGTACAATCTCTTCTTAAGAACCCCCAGTGTTGGAGAACCCACAACTTCTGGAGGCAATTTATTCCACTTATTAATTGTTCTCACTGTCAGGAAATTTCTCCTTAATTCTAAGTTGGTTCTCTCCTTGGATAATCTTCCATCTGTTACTTCTGGTTCTGCCCTCAGGTGCTTTGGAGAATAGGTTGACCCCTTCTTCTCCCCTCAAGTACTGGAAGACTGCTATCATGTGTCCCCTAGTCCTTATAAGGACAAGGTCCTGTGGGCAACTGGTTGTCATGTTGAACTAGAAGTTGCAGCCAAAACTGTCCTTGAAGAGACTGTAAACAGATATGGAAGAATGTGCTTTGAAAATTAGAACTGCCTCATCAAATTGGGAGCATCACGATGGAGTTTAGGAACAGATAAATGCTCCTTTCTCGTCTGACTTGGTTGCTTCAGAGGTTGTAAAATTAATCCTGCCTGGGTTTCCATCCAAGAGAAGTAGGATCAACTGCCAAAAGTGAATTTAGTGTGGTGAGAACAAGCATCTTCTTCATTGCATGTGTTCAAATCCATCTCAAGATATCTCCAAACTACATTTGGGAGAAATGAAAACCGCTCTGAATAAAAAGGATGATGATAGGTTCTGGGGTTAGTGTAGGGTGAGTTTTCCAAGAAATCTGCTACATTAAACTTTATATCATGCAAAGAAATTGATTATAAAACATAAAACTTGCATATTAGGGAAGGAGAAACACATGTGTGGGTAGAAATCTTAAGCTATGAATGCAAGGATGGGAGGTAAAGAACTGAATTTGGGAAATAAAAAAAGTAGAATCAAGCAAAATCAGATGCCCACATCTTTTAAACAACTGTTGGCTGCTTATATTGTTAATGATAGATTTAAAACTGGTAGTATGGTATTGCAAAACAGTTTAATCTCTTGGATGCAGGCCATTCATCATCCAATTTCTGACCACTATATCAGCCCATGAAGAAACCTGGCCAAGCAGAAGCACAGTCACTTCTAGATAAGTTCTTGAAGAGGATCAGATTCCTCTGTTTCTTCCTCTTTCTCACCCCCCCCTTTTAAAAAAAAATTCTGCAATGTTCTAAGCCAACATTTAATGCCAACGCAGCCCAAAGTAAAGAGACCTCATGCTCAGTTTTAATTTGGAGGGGGAAAAAAATAATCTAGTAAAAAAAAATATCTGGATGAAGTTGGAAACCTTGACATCAGAAAGACTTTCACTTGCTTTGCATGTGGTTCAGAAGGCTTATTTTCTATTTTGCACCCCTTACTGTACTTGATAAAGATGCCACAAACCTGATTTTCCAAACACAGCCCACTGTCTCAGCTCAGAGAGAGCCCTCTTCCATTTCTTTGTCATTAGAATAGAACAGAGCTGGAAGGGACCTTGGAGGTCTTCTAGTCCAGCCCAATAGTGCTCCCATCATCCCATCTCCTTTCTTTCTTCCACTATAAGATCCCTGGCAAAGAGAACTGGTGTTACCATCACTTTGCTCCACAACCCATCCAGCTGTTTCTAAAACTTAAAGGAAAGAGAGAAAAGATGTCACCACTGCTGGTGGATGTTGGGCAGGAGGAGAGAGGAAGAGGGCTTGGCACATGTTAGCGAACTGAAGGAGGGAGATAACCATAGAAGAGGACTAGCCAGGCAACTTGCCAACATGTTCGTGGCTTGTTTCAAGAAACATTCAAGACAGCATTTTATAGGATTTGCTTAATCCCGAAGGCTCAAGGACAAATAGGACAACTTGGAGTCTTCCAGAGCTCCTTGAAGCTCAGTTTCCATAAATTCCATCCAATGTGACCAGTGGAAAGACAGTGTAGACATAACAGTCCAACAGTCTGAAGGATTATAGTCATTGGATGTAGGATGCCCAGAAGCAAAGGAAGACCATTCCTTGTCTCCAGGGTTGCCCAAATAGGTTGTGGGGCAAGAGAGAAACCTGGTTTGTCTGAGTCCTTGCATAAATCCTGGTCCCAAACCCTTCCTCCTAAAAAAAATAATTTGCTATCTGATGACAGAACTTCATTCTGTTCATGGTAAGGCTGGCACAATTAAGCAACATTAAGAAGATTTGGGGAAATATTTGTGTTTGCGTCTTGTCTTCCTTTTACTCTTTCCGCCTTCCTTTCAGTGAAGGGCAGTCAGAAATGTGAGCTCAACTGCCGAGCGGTCGGCTATCGCTTCTACGTGAGGCAGGCAGAGAAAGTCATTGACGGGACACCGTGCGATCAAAATGGAACCTCCGTCTGCGTGTCAGGGCAATGCAAGGTAAGAAGAATATCACCCTTGAAGTTGGAAGCTTCCTCTTCCATCTGATTCCTGTGGCTTTATATAACCAAAAGAGAACATAAATATTTTCTGTACATTTCTTTGGACTTCTTTTTATAGATAAACACAATCTTTTTCTGTAAGTCTAGGTTTCTCCACTTGTCCACATCTGGAGAGGATCAGACATGTTCTTGGAAGTTATTTTTAGTGATTCAAAGCATAGTTGGAAGCTTGAGTTATCTTTGTAGATGGATGATATGGCTGGGTTTCAGATTATTTATTAAGGCATCTTTTGATATAAGGCTGAAAGCCAGGAGACTGTTGTTGTTTTGATCCAAGCTGAATCCACATAATGCCCAAAGGCCAACTTCACAATATGGCCATACTCGTTGGAAGAGAAGATACAAACATGGAAAGAAATTTGTCTATGATCATTTACTCGCAATGAGTAACACTCAGTTGGATTCATGTCAGAATACACCATGGAGCGATTGTACTGTAAAACCAAGGAAACATGTTGGGTGCGTAAATGATCACATAGCTTTTTAACATTCTCATTCACAGATGTTCTTCACATGTTTGTTTATATAAATCAGAGTCTGGAAAAAGAGCGATTTTGGCTTCCTCTTTGCAGATAACACTGCTGAATAACACAGAGACTTCAAATCTTTTCAGCCCAAAGAAATCCTGAGACAATCTCAGGCTCTTGACCAATTAAGTCAAGCCTTCTGGGTCCAACGGGATCCATTTTGGAAACTCATTTCGATAGGCCAAAGGGTGCAAGCCCTTTATATCATGATTCCCCATGAACATATCCTTGGCTGCCATCACCAGAGCTGCTGGTAGCAAATCCAAACCCAAATTTCTTGCTGTGTAAATACGTATTTCCTTAAGGTGTTCTTAGTGCTCTCTGAGCTTGGCTGTTTTCTTGCAGATGTTTCATTACCCAAAGTAGGTGACGTCAGATCAACAATCAAGAAATAAACAATACCCCGGTCAAGGAACTGTCAAACAAGCTAACAGTAAACAGCCCAACCAAAAGACCCCCAAGATCATTTCCACCATCATGGACAGGGCAAACCACTAGAATATAAACTGAGAGCAAACCCCACTCCTTACTAGCAACTGATGAGGTTGCCTAGTTGGGTAATGAAACATCTGCAAGAAAACAGCCAAGCTCGGAGAGCAACAAGGACCTCTAATTTCAATTCTGACCTACAAAATATTCTCCTTTGTGTATTTCCTTTTCTTTGTCCTGAATTTCCCAGCATATCATTTTGACGGATGTCTTTGACTTTGTAAAGAGTGTGAAAAATGCCTCTCTGCCATGCTTTTAAAAGGCCTTTGTAGTGTGTGTGGACCCACACACTTTGGGGAAAGAGGAGGAGGTTCTTGAAAGCAACCTGATTATTGCATTCAGATAAGTAGATATTATGAAATTGCCATAACTGTCACTTCTCTTTCAAGGCTATTTACGCGCTCATTGTACTTGCTGTCAGAAAGCTTTTCATGTCCAGGTGTGGACTCCTTTTAAGATTGCAACGGGGGCATTGTGCATATAGACAGAGCTGTGTGTGATTCAAGGAGATATTAGGCACTCTTCCGACAAGGATCAGTGCGGTGAAACCTGAAGGGAAGCAGGTACAATTGCTTCCTTCTTCCACGATTTTATCCTGCAACTGTTTGGTAAGAAACATTTTTAAGCTTGTTGACTTAAGCAAAAAGTAGACTGGACCTGTGAACACCTGACTTGAGTTTCTCCCCTCGCTTTGTCCTTGACCATTCTATTTCAGTTGTGGTTGCACACTGCATTGCTTGTCTAAGTGGGGTTTCATTCCTTTTTTGAAGACCATGGATGGCTGTCCCAAAGGTGCTTTTCCAAAAGGCAACTGGGTTTTCTTGGGTTTTTTGTTGTTGTTTTTGTTTCCCTTGAAAAAAGGAAAGTTTCGCTTCTCATCCAAGCAGCAGCAGCAGCTCCTTCTCCTCCTTCTCCTTCTCCTTCTCCTTCTCCTCCTCCTCCTCTTCCTCCTCCTCCTCCTCCTCCTCCTCCTCCTCCTCCTCCTCCTCCTCCTCCTTCTTCTTCTTCTTCTTTCTTCTATGACCTGGATGCTTGAAAATCACCATGGACCATAGATTAGTTTTCAGATGTATGACATTTTCAGTTGAGGGGTGGCCAAGGAGAAGACCTGGACAGAAAGTTGGCCTATGGTCTATTATTGCATTGTAATTTCTTATATTTCTATTATTGAAGAGATACATTATGGGATGAAAAAAAAAATGAGACAGTGCAGAATGACATCAGGCAGTTTTCTCAATCTCAGCAGCTGGAAGATAGGTGGACTTCAACTCCCAGAAGTCCTCAGCCAGCAGAGCTGTAAGGAACTACAAAGGAAGAATGATTTGGCAGACACAATGAACCTCTTGGGCATAAATATCTTTCATTTGCCTTTGTTTTCCCTGGGGTCCAATTCAGAGAGTTTACAAAGGAGGAACTTATATTTTGGGCTTGGTGGACTTTGAAAATTGTTGAGAAGATATATATTCCTTTAATAGGCCTTCAGTGCCATCTGCTGGGTGATTTGTTATAGTCCCATTTATGCCACGAGGATCATACGAGAAGAGTTGATTTCAAGTTGCTGAAGAAGCAGAGAGCAGAAGGGAAGTAAGAAATAATGAGTAGCAAATAAATAAACCATTGACCTAGATTTAATTTAGGTTAATTCATCCCTGATGAGGCATGCTAAAATAGACTTTTTTTTCTTATTAGAAAAACGAGGAGTGTATTCTGCACAGTTATACAAAATTATGCAGACACTTAGATGCTGAACCACACGGTGGCGCCAAACTCACAATAATGCACAACAGTTGTAGACTTTTCTGTTCCTCTTAAAGAAATTTCTGGAGGGGGGGGGAGATTGCCCACTCTCTTAAGAAATCCTATTTTCAGTCTGTATCCCTGATCAGCACTGGTCCTCACCCCACAATTATCCCCTTATTCTGCCACTGATGTGACCACAAAAAAGGGACCGTAGTTTCCCCTGTTGAGTGAGCGTCATTATGGCCCCCAATATTTCATTTAATGTGTCTTTTCTAAAGCAGCGCAAAACTGAATGGATCTTCTGGCCAGCAGGCCTCTGGTTTCATTTTTACAAATAAAGATTTCACAGAACGGCGAGGACGCTCACCTCCATCACTGACAGTGATGTGATGTGTGATGATGGCCCAACCTAGTCTTCTAGGGAAAAGACCTGTGCACCAATAGAAGAGAATATTTATCACTCAGGGTTGAATTGTGGGGTCCTTGGTGCTCTCTGAGCTGGGTGGTTTTCTCGCAGACATTTCATGACCCAACTAGATGACATCATCAGTGCTAGAAGGGAATGGGGTTTGTGGAGAGGAGGAGAGGAGGGCTACTGTGGGATCCTTGGTGCTCTCTGAGTTTGGTGGTTTTCTTCCAGACTTTTCATGACCCAACTAGTCATCATCAGTGCTAGGAAGAAGTGTGGCTTGCCCCCTGTTTATACATATACATGGCTTGCCCTGTCAGTGTTGGTGGGAGTATTCCTGGGGGTCCTTGACTAGACTGTTGTTTATTGTTGGATTGTTTGTCTGAGTTGGTAGTTCCTTGACTGGGGTGTTGTGGACTTCTTGACTGCTGCTCTCATATCAGTCTTGTCAATTGTGTCAATCTGGTCACATGAAGTATTAGTACCATTTTATAAATTCCCTATTAAGGCCACATCTGGAATCCTACATCCAGGCTTGCTCACCACATTATAAAAAAATAAATAAAAATGCTGAGACTTCGGAAAAAGTGCAGAGAAGAGCAACTAGGATGATTAAAGGCCTGGAGACTGAAACATACAAAGAACGGCTGCAGGAAGTGGGTATGGCTAGTCTAGAGAAAAGAAGGACTAAGCGAGACATGATAGCAGTCTTCCAGTATTTAAGGGGCTGCCACAAAGAGGAGAGAGTCAACTTATTTTCACTTCTCTGAAGCGGTATAGGGTCTCCTGCTTGAGCAAAGGGTTGGACTAGAAGACCTCCAAGGTCCCTTCCAGCTCTATTCTGATAGATAGATAGATAGATAGATAGATAGATAGATAGATAGATAGATAGATAGATAGATAGATAGATAGATAGATAGATAGGTGTTAATCTCTGCTTATCTGGGTGTTGATTGCTGGAAGGAAGGTGTCTTGATCTTTTTCTTTCCTTTTTGGCTCTTGATGGACTCTTTTGAGTGCTATGTAGATATCATTTATCTCTATGTGACTGCTGATGGCCAATTTGTCTGAGACCAGCAGGCCTCATCCTAAGCCTAACTTAGGGCACTCATCAAATTATTGAATTAATGGGAGAAAAAAACTTAAATGCACGATCCATCATGTTTTATGGTCTAAGACAGGTTGGGCCTTAGATACTATCAAGTTTGGAAGGCAGAAAAGGTCCTAAAAGTGAGTGCAACTCACTTAGCAGCCGCCTTCCTTAGTAACAGGAATTCTGATCTCAGCTGTGGTCATAAGTCAAGAACTATCTGTAAGTACCATCAGTGGTGAAATGGCGAGAAATAAATTTTTGATTCTTATTAAAACAGGCTGCGTGTTCCAGAAGAGACTGTCTTCTTTATAAGGGAGTTGTGTCCTTTCTTTTAATATGAAAACATTTCGGGGAATGTTTTCGCCAAATGAATGTTTCTTTGTGGCTGGGTAGGTAATGCTATCGAACAAACAGTGCTCAGATTTTTTTTTTTGTTCCAAACTGCTTTGAAACTTGATCTCCCGTGTGGTCAAAATAAACTCAGATTCCAGCATAAAGGACAACTTGTCAAGATTATTGAATTTGCAGTGCTGCCATATTTATGCCCGGTCATAATTCCACCTTAGCCAGAGGCACCCACAATTTGGGTGGAAAAAGGCAGTTTGTTTGTGCAATTGCAAAAGGAAACTTTATATTCCAGTAAAGCCATAACATGTTGACTTTTAGTGTCTCCCAGAAAG